AGTGTCCCACAAATAACTGGTACAATATCGCCCTTCATGCCTCAGAGGAGCCGTGAGAGCTGGTTGCCCCCGTGGTTTTGAATGGTGCCCACCTGGCTTCTCCTCCTGGACGAGAAACAGCTGATTTGACCATAGTGGCACATTTTGCACAGCAGCAATCTTGTTACCCAAAAGCATCTCGCTGCTCCAGGCCATTTGATGTTTTTACTGGTGTACAGCTGATACCACCCGAAATAACAAGCTATTTCTGTAACTTCAGATGCTCTCAGAGCCTTGCACAAGATCTGGTAATGGCTCACCGCCCTTCTCTGCCACTCAGTGAAAAATGTCATCTCATGGGCAACTGGGAAAGAAGACTGCAGTTAAACCAAATACGTTGGTCAGACCAACGCTCGGCACCACCTCTACTCTGGGGAGGTGTGGCAATGCCATAAAAAGCATAAACTTACTTTTCTAAGGCCCAAAGTGGCCTGTTTAGTGCTAGCTCAGGTACCTCACTGGTGCACGCAAGCAGCTTCAAGCTGCCCGGCAGAGTGCTGGGATAGTTTTAGAGAACCAGGCAAAGTGACCTGGACCCCGTGCGTGGTCCCTGATTCAAGTGTTAACCAAAATGGAATTCCCTGGATTTCAGATCTAAAAAGAGCCGTGGTGGGGTCTGTGCCTCCCCTGTCAGGCACAGCCTGTACCGGGGGCATGGCACTGAAGAGCAGAAATAAAGAACAAGTCCATCGAAGTAGGTGCTTTTTGTAGGCAAGTTCCTAAGAGATGATCACTCTACATGCATGAGCCTTCCTTTTATTTTTTCTTGCTCAAGTGCCAAGCACGGAGCAGATGGTACATTACTCAGCCTTAACTGGAGGGTAAGAAAGTGTGATTTTTGAAAAAAAAATATTCAGTTGAGACCCTCAGCCCATTTAGATTCCCAGCTCAAAGTTTATTTGTCTTACACAGAACTTGTACTTTCTACTCCTCTCAAATGCTAATCCTCTCCACACATATGCTCATTATGCAAAAGCATATGACAAACACCATCTGGGAAAATAAATAGCTCCTCAGCTAACCGCGCTGCTCCGTCCCTTTACGTCACCCACCTCACTATTGTCTCTACTATTTTTATCTGCAAGACAGTAATCACTCAATCAAGCTATGGACTTAAAAGTGCCGTCTCAGTCAAACAAGCTGCAGATCGCAGGCTGGGCAGTAAAACCCGTCCCACTTTTCAAGATGATGTACATCTTCATGATAATTTGAAGGCAGCTGTAGCACTGAGAAAAATAAATGTATCTTTTAAAGGACAGTTGATATCACTGAGAGATACTAGTCCTGATCCACAGAAGTCTATGCTTTTTTTTCAGCTAGAAGGTTACATTTTCTCCCCCGTGAAATATGCAGCTCTTGCCATGAGTTCCACCTCGTTTCCATGGATTCCTGAGATAGTCCTTCATCTCTGACAGACTATTGCTCATACCGTTTGCAGCCAGGCAATGGTGTTAAGTAGGGAATGACATTAACCAAGTTCAGTGAGTTTTCTAACCTATACGTAGATGGGTAAGAATAGGAGTGGTGCTGTCATTAGTCATGATGGATTCATTGTCTGCCAGAACGTTAATCAAAAGAAATAGGAATCATGTATGCAAGAGAAAGGCAGCTCAGAATATTCTGGTTTGTAGCAGTGGATTAGAAGAATCATCATGGAGATGTCTATTTAGCTAAATTAAATAGGATCTGCACAATCCAACCATACTGTGTTGAGGCTAAGTAACCAAGAGAAATTCAAAATGCACAGCCAAGAGACTCAGCGGCTGACGCCACTTTGTAAGTACCCTGTAAGAATTGTAGGGCCACAAACACTGCAATATTATATCTGTTTAGAAAAAATATGAGACAGAATTCAACAATGATCTTATCTGAGCCACAAATTCTTGTCAATTATTATATGCTTGTAGGGACATGTTTAATAGATGGCGGAAAGTCCTTCTCATTTGTCCTCAGAGACAGTGCTGATATTGCCCAGCTAGGAAATCCATTCTACAGCTACAAAAGAGGCAATTTAATTTCATGAGCACGTGCCTTTATTATTTTAAGAATAATTTAATGTAGGCAGAGGAAAGCAGAATCTGTATGAAAAAAGACCGAGGTTTACAGCATTTGCAGTTACCAGCCCTGTGGTTCTTGCTTCATCTGAACTTTTTCTTGGGGGGGAGAGGGAGGTAGTTTTTGTTTTGCTCCCTGTTGACTCCACTGGGAGTTTCGCCTCACCTAAGACAGAGGACTTTAAGTCTGGTATGTGGTTTGGATGTTGATGTTGCTTGGAATACGTATATCTATGCAACACACACTCTGTGCTGCTGAATATGTCCTTAACTCCCTTCTCTTTGTTGTTACAACAGACGAACCAAACTCCTGGAGTGCTCCCTCTGCCACCTCCCCAGGTCTGCCGGAAGTAAAAACATAATCTCACCATTATCTTCATCACACATAGCCCCACCCTCTGACCCTTCTCACCAGAAAAGCCCAGAGCCAACATGGGATATCAAGAGGGAACACGATGTAAGGAAACCAAAGGAGCTTTCGGTGAACGGTCACAAAAAGAAAAGGTTAGGAGAACAAAGAGAAAGGTCAGCAAGTCCTAAAAAGGTAGACAGGTCAAAGCATGAAGAGGCTTCTTGGAAAGGATATTCAGAAGGCAAAAATAAGACCACTGATGGTGGCAGGCCCACCTCAGAAAGCAAAGTGGTGGGACACAGCGTTATGATCGAGGCTGGCGCGAGAGAGCACGTGTGTGCTGGAACCAGTGATGAACAGTTTGGGAGGCTGAGGAAGCCGGAAAGCAAGAGAGGGGGATCTCTTAGCAAAAAAGAAGATCACAAATCTGCAAACAGCAGTGAGAAGAAGTCAGCTGCAGCATCCGACCATGTCAAGCTTGATACTGGTGCTACCAAGACGTACAGTAGCAACCGCTGCAGCTCACCTGGAAGTGATATGGACCACAACCAGAGGGACCCTGACGGGAAACCCAGCGAGTTCCCCAGGAAGGGACATCTCCACTCCATTAGCACTCGCAGCACCAACAGCACAGTTCGAAAGGCAACGGTCTCCCCCGGGCCGTGGAAAATCCCTGGCTCAGATAAGCTACCTAGCGTCCTGAAGTCTGGTACTTCTGCCATGAGCAGATAAGCAAGGGACTGTTGCCCTCTAACTGTCTCAAACTGACGCAGAACATTCTTCTTAGTTTTTTGTCTCACATTGGTTTGTTTTAATTTATTTTAACTATCACACATATACACAAAGCATTGAGGAATGAAAACATTAGTGTGTAATTCCATGACAATGTGCACAGTACCTAATAAGTTCAAAAGCATATAGTCAACACAGAGATTTAAAATCGACCCTAAAGTCCCAGTTCCATTTTAGGGACTTTGGCAGCTATGGAAGAAACCAAAACAATATGAAGGACAGTACATCAGAGAAGGATAGTGCAGTGTAGCTTTAGCATTTTTTTCCCACTGCATGAAGGACTTGGATTTCATTCAAACTTTATATCAAGAAACTGGAACAAGTTAGAGCAATCACAAACTGGAACATCGCCTTAAATAAAACTGCACGGAGCAAGCTGAAACAGAGAGAAGATCTTTTCATGGAGCTAAAATGTTGTAAATAAATTGTTCTCGACGTATCTAGACAGGGGTTAAAGGGTTTCTTTGAAGCATCATTCGGAACTGTATACCCATGACACATCTCCACTGTTAACACTTTGGGATAGTCCACGTGGTACCCTGTAGCATAGTTCACTGGGCGCTAAGGGAGAAGCAGGGGAATCCAGTGGATAAGTTTCTGTGATACCATTTCTACTGCCATTTTTGTGAACAAACCATGTTTCTGTACATTGGAAAGGAGTTAGGGTGGAGTTGTATTTGCAAATTATTCTCAAAAGCGATTTATTCCAGGTTCCCCAAATCCAGCGAGGTTGCACACAAACCAATTGGTCAGGCTCAAAACCCAGATGTCTGCAAGGCCCTTGCAATGAAAGGAAGAGTGATACAGAGAAAAAGCTGCAGTTTCCTTAAGGAAAGGCCTTTCCTTCCTGCAGAAGAGGATAGTTTCACTTATCAACAGTGCTATGTTTCACACCCATCTGCATTTAGTCAGGACACTCTCACCTTTCATCCCCTCAGTTTGGCAGAGCAGGTGCCTTTCAGGCACACGTTAACAATAATTAGACTGGTTTCTGAAATACAGTTGTTGGTGTCCTCATTCAGTAAATTCGATATATTTCCATTTTTTAAATGGTGTCCATTTTATCATTTCTTCCCTACCTCCATTTATTTTTTTTTTGATCTTTTTATTTTTATCTTTCTTGCTTGTCTGTTTTGAATTTCAAGCCTTAAGTGCCAGGTAAACATTCCAGTCTGCCTTCACAGGAAATAACTCCACGTTCAGTCTATCAGTCATTATCTTGTTTCAAAAAGATGTGTGTGTGTGTGTCTGCGTAAGTGTGCATATGCTTCTTTGTCTGTCAAAATTATAACAAAATCCTGGGCAATAATACATTGGTAATTAAAAAAAAAAAAACAAAACCACAACATAAAGCTAAGTACTGTCAAAAATTCGTATTTAAAAATTATTATTCTCTAACAATCTTAGTTCCTCACATGCTCTGCTGAAAAATTAGATTGAGATTGGCTTTGTTCCAAGAAATTAGCACATTACTGTATGTCTCAAACATTGCACTGGACTGAGAAATTTGTAGGCATGTTTCTTCCTGTCCAATTATTTGAAAAGCCTCAAGTCAAGGATTTTGCAGCTTTCAAACAATTTCTTTTAGAAAGAAAAATCCATTTATAATTTCTAAAAAAGCACAAGTCCATGTAGCTGTTTATAAAACTCTTATTTAATGGAAAAAAAAAAAAATCTTTATCCCCTGAACTAGAATGCAATATAATTTGCCATTAATTTATTGAATCTGATTTTGGACAATGCTTCTGTAGTGTAGATGCACGTCCCGGTATCTTATTTTTATGTATAAAGAAAGCAAACAATGAAATCTAAAAAACAGTTGAGATTATACTTGCATAAACTCTAATTTGCACAGTTCACAGCTACTCCTTGTGCAGTAATTGCTTTATGCGGCTGTAATCGATAACCTGTGAAGACAGCACATCATCTAAACCCCATTCCAAATAATATTTCTGTGTAGTGTTAGCTGTGAATTTACCCTGTACAGCTCTATCTCTATAAATATAATTCCATGTATTAATAGTCACAGAAAGGCTGTAAGTGAGCAACTATTTTTATGAAACGCACCACTATGGATAAATTAACTTTTACAGAAATCTTGTTTACTGTATGATATTCTAAACCACTGTCAAATAAAATATATATCCAAAAATCTTTTTTTTTTTTTTAATTGTACGTAGTCTGTTTTAATTTTGAGTGATAGGCTTCAGTGTTACACCAAGAAACAATCCTTTACATGCATATGAGTAGAATTAACTACCTGCTGCATTATGAAAAAGGGAACACTCTATTTTGTTTTCTTACTCCAAAGGGTACACTTTATGGATATACACGTGGGTGACCAAATAAATCCTATGTAGGCAAGTTAAGGCGTATGAGGCTACACAGATGCAGAGAAGTCTCTCCCTTGGTGGAGAATCCTGAACTCTTGTTCTCCTTCCAGTCCCAGGAGACATGGGACCGGGGTGACCAGACTCCATTTACATGCATATGAGTAGAATTAACTACCTGCTGCATTACGAAAAAGGGAACACTCTGTTTTGATTTCTTACTCCAAAGAGGGGTACACTTTATGGGTATACATGTGGGTGACCAAATAAATCCCATGTAGGCAAGTTAAGGCGTATGAGGCTACACAGATGCAGAGAAGTCTCTCCCTTGGTGGAGAATCCTGAACTCTTGTTCTCCTTCCAGTCCCAGGAGACATGGGACCGGGGTGACCAGACTCCCAGCACCGAGGGACAACTTCTGAGCCTACACCATGTATACAAATGGCATCTGGCAGCTCTAACTAGGCCTTGAAAGGTTTGCTTACAACTGAGTGAAGGGGGCATAATTTGATTTGCAGTCTACTTTACAGAAATAATGTCTCAGAAAACATCATAAGGGTGTAAAAATAATGGTAACCAGACAGCCTCTTCTAGGGCCCAATCCATCCCCTGTTGAATAGAACAGAAAAATGCTCCTTACCTTCCGTTTGGCAAAATAAATCACCAGTGTACAAACTGTAGGCACTGTAAGATGTGCTGGCTGGAAAACTACTGGTGTTTTTCACACAAATATGACATTTTTTAAAATAAATATTTCCTTTTTCCTTAAAATATAATTTTCTTCAAAAAATAATTATTTGCCTTCATACACCATGAGTCAGTTTCTGCAGAGCCTCATTTTTCAGAAGATTAATGTTCCATGTAAAGAATTTCAACCAACTGAACTAATAGCGTCATTTTTCATTACAATACACACATAATAAATTTGAAGCATCTTTAATACTCAAAAAATATTTGCTACTCTTTAAATAGCCACCATTTTCATGGTTGGAAATCTGGCTACGGATCTGATTCAGACCCAGAGCTATCCCAGGGAAGCATGCTGAAGCTGTACAGCGTCATTGAGTCTAACTTTTTCTGTTAATAACATGTCCTTTCTTTTTTAGACATAGTAGTACAGCATTTGCATTGCATTGCCATTCTCATAACAGTTTTTTATCTAATTTTTCATATCAATACTTTAACACAGGAAATAATTGGATATTTATTTTGATGCACATTTTCTGCTCCAGACTCCAAAGCATCGCTGTAAGTAAGCTTGCCTGCATATGATCAGCAATGCACATTTGGGGAGGAGTTTTGGTAAAACCTCGTAGGCAGATGTTGGTGCAGCCCTTTTCTTAATCACTGGCAAATGTTGGGTCTGGGGCTCACTTTCTCTCCAGGTATTTCTCTGTTCAGTAGCTTTAGGAAGTCCACACAAACTGCAGAGCCTGGAAGAGCAGATCTTCAAACAAGTTTAATAAAAAAGTCAGAAAATTTAACAACTCTCACAAAATATCACTGAAGATGCCATCTTTTCTTTCAGAAAGCTGCTGGACTGACGACACACTTCATTTAGGTACAACCTAGCACAGGCTATGCTGGTTTCACTACACTACCCTCCCCTTAACAGGAGGGACACTTGTAGCCCATATATCTACCTACTCCACGGACTCAGTGATAAAACTGCCAACAATTTAACACCAGCATGGATAGCTGTCTGCTAGGAATTGATGCAGAAGTTTGAGCACGGCCCCATCTCTTCCCTGATATTTGTGTGTGCAGCCAACCACCATTGCCAAGAATTTCTCATCTCCATCAAAGATTGGCTTCAGTCTGATTTGTGCCATCTCTGCTGAAAATGAACATCTCATGCTTAGCCTCCTCTACATCCCAGGTGCCCTCAGCACCACCAGATCTGTCCTGAATCTCTTCTCTTCCTTCACAGCTCCCCACTTCTCTTGTTCTTAATCTTACCTCTGAGATAAGTGCTGCCGTCTTTCAGTGGATTGAATCTTCCATTCTCTGTTTTCCCCTTCTATCCATCAGAACTTTGTCTTCCTCTTTTTACCTCTTACCTTCTGGCCCTCTCTCACCAGCTGACACCATTTGCCACTCTCAACCTCTGCCTTATGTGTCTCAGTAGCTCCACATTGGACACCTCTGCTGACAGGTGTCATGACCAGTTACTCGCACTGGACAAGTCATTAACATACTCCTGGGTGTCACATAAACATATAGACATATCCAACACCTTCTGTTGAAGCCCAACACAAATCATCTGCCATGGCCTCCAGAAACCAGCAGCAGTTACTGATCAGGCAGACTAACTATGTGCAGTCAGTGACTCCCTTTGCAAGTACAAATAATGTTTTTTCTTCAATGCTATTATAGCTAAATGTCTGTACTCATAATGATCTAAGCATTCTGGCCAGGTTTTGTGGCTGCAACATGCTATGATCTCTACTGGAAATCTCCAAATTCATTTTGCAAAGTAAAGACTGGCAAAGCCACAGGCACATTTCTGTCTTAGCCACTACGCTCTTTTTGTGTACCACTGCTGTAGCAGAAACCTGGGGCCAGAACTGCAGAGGCGTAAGTAGAAGAGCACACCTCAGCTAATGAGGAAGTCACTTCCCATGTTTCTCCTTACTTGGAAGCAAATTTTGGTGTGAAGGGGAAAAGTTTCTTGGTAAACTGCCATGGACCTCAAAGTAGAAGAATGCTTTGGACTTGCCCAGGCATGACTGATCTCATTAGGGATTTACTTCACAGTTCACTTCTGCAAGTCTCCAAAAAGAGTCCTTTCCGTCTTTTGTCCCCTCGACGCCTAGGATATTTTCTGGAATTGTTGCTAAAAAGGCCTCACAGGCAAGGCAGGCTGCCTAATCTCATGACTAAGAGACAACTCGGAGAGAATTTCCATGACTGTGTCACACAGGGCTCCCACCCCCACCTCTATTAGACTCAAGGACTCCTAAGGTTGTTTCTCCATCTATCACGTCAGAGCCAAACATCACCTCTACCTTGACAGCTGGCATTGAAACAGTGAATCTTTTAAATTAGCCTTTACTCCCAAAGGAAAATCCAGTGCACCATCTGAACAAAAACAGCTGTGCTTTGGGAGAGGCCAGGACTCAAATGTCACCTACTCCCCAAGCCCTTCTCTGGACAGCCCACAAATCTCCTGCTCAGCACCCAGGACTGTCCTCTCCCTTGGAGCAACAGCCTCTTCCCACCTCCCGAATTAGTGACCGCAGGCTCTGCGTAGACCATCACCCTCCAGGCATGCTCAGTCCAGCCTTCATGGCCCCGATATATTTTTATCAGTATTTCTAACAGCAATGATGTGATCGCACATTTATCTCCATAGCTGGCACCTAGACTTAGAGCAATTTCTTTTTTAATATATTGTCAAGACACAGTAACATAAGCAATATCTCTGAATTATAGCCAATCTAAAAATGATGTTCTGTCCTTTCCTGCCTTTAGTGCCACTATGGCAATAAGTCACTCTGCCAGTTTAATTAATCGATAAGGAGAGTTTTGCTTACAAGGTAAAAATGTATCTCTTTTAAACAGCTGAGGGAACATCAGTGCAAAAATACCCTCTCCCACTTGCACACACATGGACCTGGAGCACCACCTTCCACTCCCACTCAGGAACTTCCCAAATATCCATGTCTGAGATGGGTGGCTGTCCCTCTCAGAAAAAAAAACACATAATGATGCAGACTGATCCAGAAAGCTATCGTTCTTCCACGGATGAACTGCTGTAAGTGTTTTAAAGGTAAATATTTAAAGATATTTAAACTGAAAAAATAAGAAAGAAAGAGTGGGGGGAGAAAGAGAAGAAGTGACAGGGCTTCCTGTGATGTGGCCGCTTGCTGACCTGCTCTATTTTCAACTTCCTCAAGCTTAAAAATGAAAAAAGATGACCTATCAAACACGACAAATGCTGCAAGTTTTGGAGACAGCAAGAAAGGATATTTAGTGATTACGCTTCTGAAAAAAAACTAATTTATTTAAGTAAGAGGCCTGCTTAAACACAAGGAGAGGGATGGTGATGGTTAGAGAGAGATGGTTGCTGCAGGAGCAGCTCCAGGGTGCTGATGGGCTCTTCTGACACAGACTAATCCCCCCATTTCTCCAGAGGTTGCAGTCATGTGGAGCAGCCTCAGCAGCGTGCTGGCACTGCAGGGACAGACCAGCGGCAGCAATTACTTCCCTGAAATGCAGGAAGGTCAAGAATTCAACCCCTGTGATGCTTCCCTTTACCTCTGTGCCCCAGAACTGCTGCATACCACCAAGGGATATAGCCCTGTTGCTCACCCAAAGATGCTGTAGATGTGGAAGCAGTGGGAGGAAAAACTAAAACATGAAAGCCAAACCCAGACCTACAGTGAGAGCCCTGGGGCATCTGTAAGTTGGAAGAAAGGTTCGGAGCAACCGCAGAGCCACAGTTACAGAAAAACCAGCAGGAGTGAGACCAGGGCACTGGCATTCTTCTATCCCTGCCCTCCCAGTAAATTGGGGCCATTGCTGCCACTGAAGCCACCTGAATTTTTACACTGTTTTTCTAACACTCTGCAAAAAAAAATGTAGGTTTTGCTTCCTGGATTGCCTTTTGTTCAAAAGCAGTGAAAAACAACAGGCAACTAAACCAACCCAAAACACCCTCCTCTGCCATCACCAGGCAGCAGGGCTGCCCATGGCTCTGAAGTTTCTATTCATACATATGTATGTATGAAATTAATGAATTTTGGTGTTTGTACTTTCCTAAAGTGATTAAAAACTATGCTAAGAGCTTTAACTAAAGTATTTAAAGAATTGC